TTAGCCACAAAGGATGAGACTTCAATAACGTGCGACTGAATTTTCACCACTTTTTGAATTTACGGTTCTTTGCATACAGGTGTAAAAATATTTTATTTCATTTCTTTATCAATATTAGCATTAAGATAATATTTAGGTTGTCATTAGAGTCTCATATCGATGTGGGCCAATTCTGTAGTTAATCCCAATACAGAGATTTTTCAATTTCTATATTTTCTTTAGAAAATTGAGTCTTACTTGTGCAATCATAACACTCTGGAGTTGTGGCTGAAAAAGAGAATTTTTATTTTAACATGTTTTGATCTTTGATAAAATACAGGGTGTCCCACGACAGTTGGTAAATAGTTTTGAATGTCTTCTCCTATATATTGTATGAAATATTAAAGATTGTTTGCAGATTATTTCGTTAAAATAATCTTTTCCTCAAAAATTATTTTACTTTGAAATCAATTTTATTATAAAATATGACTTTTTTTAAATATTTCATTTTTATTTTTTTTTTGGTATCAAACGACTTAAAAAATTATGAAAGAAGACACTCTAAACTATTCACCAACTGTCATGTTTCGTGGAACACCCTGTAGTTTCAAAATATTTGGTATCGTCTTTTTTTGGATTATTTACAGATTGTAAATAGAACACTACTATAGTTTAGGAATAAATCCAAATCTCTTTTGCTGGCCGTAGTTTTTTACACACATAAAAGGGAACCATGAAGCTTTTCGAAAAGGAAGACGAAAGAACCTGTAAAATCTTTCCCTGGGATGTTTAGAAAGATGAAAATTTCCCTGTATAATTGAAGGACTGCAGTATGGTTTTGGTGAATTATATTGACGTACTAAGCCTAGAGGTGTCAGAAATTATTTTTTTTGCATATTTTTATAAAACTCCTATAAAACGTATAAAGTATAATTTTTGATAAAACTATTTGTTCTGGATGATTACAAATATCTATCTAAAACTTTCTTAAACCGGCATATTTTTTCTATATTCATTTAGTTAAGAGTTTGAGTTAAAATAAGTATTAATAAATATTGCTTTATATTGAGTAGATATCCTTAAACATACCGATGTAAACTTTCAGAAAGAAGGAAAGATTCTGTAAATAAAAGGTGCTAAACCAAACAGAATTTCTATTTTGAACAAAACTTTTTAGACCTTAAATTGAAGCCTTTCTTGATTGCACTTTACTCCAGTTTTTCATTATTTTTCATTTTTGTGAAACAGTAAAAAAGAGATTTTGTTGATGGTTTAAAATTAAAAAGCTGATGATACATTGGAGGGAGGGATGGCAAAAACACCAATTTGTAGTTCCCAAATCTTTTTATGGTAAGGGTATACAGAGTACTTCAGGGTACAGGGTACTATAATGTACTGCAAAGTACTGTGCTTTACTGGGGTATACGGGGGGAGGAGGGGGTACAGAAACCAAACAGAATTTTTATCTTTGATAAAAAAATATAAGCAGAGTCAAAAGCACTTCTAAGCATATTTTCTTTATAGTTTTGCATTATTTTCATGGACGAAAAAGCTAGTTTAATACTAATCAGCTGATTACTTTATTTTTATCAAAATTAAACTTTTTCAGGTTTATGGGACGTTTTAAAAAAAAAATTTTAAAAAAATATTTCCGATACCTCTAGGCGTACTAACGTCAATATAATTCACCAAAACCAAACTGCAGTGCTTAAATTAGCATACAGGGAAATTTTCATCTTTCTAAATATCCCAGGGAAAATTTTTTATTTAATGTTGTAGCATGAACAAATTTGTAAAATAGCTCTGTGGACATTGCACAGTTGCTATATTTAATGTTAATTGTTAATATTTTAAATCATTATAACATGCTAACAGTCGTTTTCCTATTCCACAGTGTTATGGGTCTCACTCTCACCGTCGTATACTCTAAGAAAAAACCTCAAAAACAAAACTTCGAAATACAGAGCAAAGGGAAAGCATTTTTTGACTTTATTGTAATTTAATAGTTACTTTCAAATTTTTGGGAAGTCAATAAACAAGAAACATAACACTGATTCCTTATTTACTTACTTATCCTTTACATACACTCAAATTCCGTATTGAATAAACGCCCCCTTTAGTTAAACTTACGTAGAACACACTGATACAGAGACCAATCCGGTTCATCAAATACTCCATTAGCCTGCAGGAAAACATGTTTATCATAACTTCTTTATTTTAGACATGTTTTTTTTAATTTTCTTTTTAGTTTTAAAATATTTGTTTTAAAAATGTTTTTACAAATATTCTTTTTATTCTAAATGTATAAAATATTTATTATTTCCTCAGAAAATCTTTAGATTTAACAATAATATCCGTCCTTATAAAAAAAAAATCAATTATAAAACACTGTAGACAAATGCCTAATTCACAGACGATAACATACCAAATTTATCATTAGCATTAACATTGAGTTGAAACAATTTCAAATTCAAAGTTATAAAACTGTGAATTCGGGGATGAAGAGTTTTTTTCAACTTAAAACCCTAATTTTAACTCAATGTTCCAAGAGAAATGTTTTGTTGTGAAACCTTGTAATTTGTTCAATGATAACCAACAACTTTGAAATAAGAAAACGACTTTTTACCAATATTTAAGTGTATTTAAACTTTTTTATAAAGCAAATAGTTTTACTACACACTTATTAAATTGCTTATTAAGTGAAATGATTATGTTTGAACTGCACAATTGCTGTGTAAACTAGTGCGTATTGGACTATTTAAAGTCAGAACTTGGGGCTAAAAGTCGTCTTTTCTAACTTTTTTTCTGGTTCTCACTGTATTTATAAATATTCAAAGGGGCTGTCAAAGTAGTTTGAAGCAACTTTCAATTAAAAATTAACGTCGTATTTATCTTTTCTAAAAAGAGTTAAATTCGTCAATTTCCTTACTTTTCTCTCCTGTATATAAATACACAAGTCAATTGCAATGAAAATTATCAATTGTCAGACAAAAAAGCAATTTTATCTACCTCAATGATGATAGGGTTTAAATAAAGTTTACTGTTGTGAATCAGACATGTAACTCTTTAAATGGAGAGTTATTTACAGCCCCCTTTACCTGGCAAGTCATAAATACAAAGGGTGTTGCAAACCAGTCTGCATCAAACACCATTCCATCAGGGCACACATAGGTTACATTAAACCCTACTCTGGGGGCAGGTTTCAGGTCTATATTCATATATCAATATATACTTAGACATGTGTTACATTAAACCCTACTCCAGGAGTAGGTTTCAGGTCTATACTCATATGTCAGTATATCCATAGACATTAATTACATTAAACCCTACTACAGGAGTAGGTTTTAGGTCTATACTTATATTTCAGAATATACATAGACATAGATTAAATTAAACCCTTCTCCAGGAGCAGGTTTCAGGTCTATTAATATATCAGTATATACATAAACATAGATTAAATTAAACCCTACTCCAGGAGTAGGTTTCAGGTCTATATTATATATCAGAATATACATAGACAAAGATAAAGACGAGCATCGTTTATGTGAACGAACGAAATTTTCCAAAACGATCGAAAGTTAAGTTGTGAATAATGGTGCCCAAAAAGTTTATGGTTATTATCAGCTGTTTAGTCAAAATCTTTCCATTTTTTTCTTTTAATCTCAAGAGCTTAGTCTTAAATTTAACATGGGACAGTAATACATCCTTCTTTCACTCACCTTTATCTCCAAACCCAAGGAAGAAAATGTCTGAGGTCAGAAGTAATAATTTATCAAAAACTGCTCTTAAACTTTATTATTAAAAAATTAAAAAAATTTAAGGATAATGTTTAAAAAATTCACTCAAAATCTGAAGGAAAAAAAATAGTTTGAAAAGAACGATTTTACTTCTTTCCTATATCTCCTGAAACCTCTACAACGGTTATGTTCTAAAAATTGATAATGTTAAAGGGTTCTAATAAAATTTAATTTGAGTGATTTGAGATCAGAACTTTTGTGTGAGGTATCGATATTATCGATCGATTCGATAATCTTGAAATTTTTCTTGATATCCAAAGTGGACAGTTTTGAGGATCAATGCTTGATCCCTTTATTTCAGTTAATCCTGCAGGTTCTGACCACTATAATGGAGAATCTTCTTAGATTGAAATTAATCCCAAAGTCTGTATTAGATAGAGATCAATGCAGATTCACAGCTGAAAAGTGCTCACTTTTGATCATATTTCAATCTATGAAATAAAATCAGGATTGTCTTAAAAATATAATATCTCCACTAAAATATAAATTCTATTTTGTTAGAGCTTGTAATACTATTAACACTTTACAGTCATTAAATTATATAAGAAATATGATGTTTTTGGGTAGTCCAGTATTGCATATTATAGTTTTTTGTGACACACTGACAAAAAAAATAATAGTTTATATAGGAGGAAACTCATGATTGATCCAGCTAGACTTAATTTTGTGCACAAAATGTACTGCAGGTTAACTAGAAATTGATTGAAGCCTTCCGTCTCAGTATGAGTGTTTGAATGAACTGTACAGTACATACTAACTAGACTGGTAAATACATATTTGTATTGGTTTTATTGGATCAGGGTGAACTATAGGCACATGACAGGATAGCAACAAAAAAATATCAAAAAAAGTTGATTATCTCACCTCCTGTGGAACCTGGTGCAGTACATGAGGATAGCTAAGCTCATCATTAAACTGAATAATCCATCCATCTTCATCACATCTATTTAGAAATATAAAAAACATTCAAATTTTCCATTTAACTTGATAAGTATTTCTAAAACCATCATATTTAACCATTAAGTGAATTTCAAATACTATAAAGTATACATTTTGTTTTTAATTCTTAAGCCTTTCAAGCTTTACATGAAAAAGTAAAAGTGGTTGTAACTGTCTATATTTTTAGAATGAGATCAACAACGATTTGGAGAAATTAATAATGAAATTAATAAATAAATACCATATAATTATTATAAAATTAAATATTAGACTCCATGCCTGATTCTCAAAGTAAAAGGTTCATCTGCATCAACAGTAGTACCTTCTCCAGGTTCCCCCTCAAAACCTACTATATTACCATCTACTTCAATCCAACGTCTGATTACATCTTCCTCAGGTGACATCTCGACCACCAACCCTTTCATCTATAACAAATTTCAAGATTACATGTAATAACCTTGTATTTATAACATGGTTTGATCAAAAAGTAAAGTTTGGTAAAATTTTAACATCCTGCATAATATCCATAATATTCAGGCTTAATCATCTACACTATATTTTATTGTACTAGTTGACCAACTTCTGTTTAGAATAGAAGTCATTAAAGCCTGATTATAGTTTAAGTTATTTCCTGCTTTCCATCAGAAAAGATTATTTTTGGCTTCGTTGATTTCTTGGGAAGTACTCTGCCGGCAATAAGAAGGGTTTCTTCATAAGCTCCACAAAACGAGTTTGGTATCTTTATAGAGAAAGGTATGTGAGGATTCCACTGATAGAATTCTGACATTAAGGAGTAGTTACTCCCTGGGTTTGGGGAGTATACGAGCTGGGACTTAGAAGGAGGCTTTGGAATGTCTTGACAGGAAGTAGCTGAAATTTTAAAAATCATTCAAAAATATGCATGTCTGATCTGGTCCAAAAATAGAAACTACTATTTTAGTTACTAGTATATAATTTGGTTATAAAAACATCTGCATTATCATTACATTCATTGATTTTCTTCATATTTAAGATTACATTTTATTGTTTAAGATCACTAAAGAATGAAGCTTACCAACACACTGATCTAGCACTTGAGGAACCCAGGTCTTATTCCAGGCACAAACAGAAGTAAAATCTTTATACGCTTTCCCATCTTTTCCTTGGAACTTTCCATATGGTCCACAAGTGTATGTAATTTTAGATTTATATGCATAGTCTCCATTCCATTCAAATGTTCCCGAACTTGGTCTTTCAGGTGGTCCGCTACAATTCACACCTATCAAAGACATTTATAAATATTGTGTATATTTTCAGTAAACAGAGCAGAAAACTTTAGAATGGTGGATATCAAGATCAATGATTCATCCTCTCTTTTAATCTATATTAAGATTAATTTAGTCTTTAGATTAATTTCTAGAGATAAGAGATGCGCCTTTTAACTTTTGAAAAAAAACTGTGTGGTGTTATACCAATTAGACTAATGATTGTTTGAACGAATTAAATATTGGATTAATGTTTATTATGACTGTAACGTTCAAAAGGACTATAGTCCTTAAATGCTATAAAATATGTTTTTTAATAATTTTATATTAACAAAATTAAATTTATATTTGTTTAAATGCTCTTAAAGCTGGCTTGTGAAGAGCTGACTTTAGTTCAATTAGATATTAGTCCAATTGATATATATATAATTGTATATTTGTAATACGGATATACCATTCTAAAGTTTTCAGCTCAGACCAAAGAAAGTTCTTACTTTTAACACATCTTGGCCATACTTGTGGAACATCCCATATTCCTCCAGGCATGCAATTAAGTTTCCATGTTTGCAAATCCCTATCATGCTCATAGTAGAGGTCACTAGATGCACAATAAAACTCAACACTGTGCCCAAATTCTATTGGAGTTCCATTATAATTCTGGACCATTAAAGAACTAGCTGGTGCCTAAAATTTTTTTACAGCTGTATAATTTTAGTTTCATTCTTTAGTAATCTTATAATTTGAATTAACAAGAAATCAATTTACATTTGGTGGCTTTATGCACTGCACCCAAACACATTCATCAATTTGTTCATCAGGAATCCAACTTCCATCCCAATCACAATACAAATCTTTAGAAGTATAGGTTGCTTTAGTTTCTGGGTTTAAAAACCTCCTTCCTAAACCACATTCATATCTGTAACAGAAAATGTCCTCCTTTAATGCTTAGCTTAAAATCTTAGACAGAAGTTATGCTCCATAGCATTTATTGCAGATTTAGTTTCTTGACAATATTGGTTTTACCTTAATGTAGAACCAAAAGATTGCATTTCAAGTTCATCAGACTCCAGCATTGCTGTGTCAGTTACATTTGGTGTAAAGTAGCCAACAGAATAAATTGGCCTCTCCAGACTGTTGCAAATCACTAATATGTATTAATAAAATAAGTCAAATGTTAATGGATGTATCAAAAGTACAAGAATATACCTTTAAAATATCTTTTAAGCAACTCTGTATCACCAAGTAGCAACAAATTAGCATACAACTCATTTTCCATATTTGATATCTCTTCAGAAATCTTAGATCTCATATCCATGTACCCCATTTGCTTGAGAGCAGCCTTGGTCAGGATAGTGTCATATAAAGCTTTATACAATGCGGCCAGTCCACACAAACCATTATTGGGAGACTGTACCTTTCGCAAAGAAAGATCTGGTATGGAGTGAGATGTCTTATTGAGAACATTGTATAATTGACCAATAAGTTCTGTCTTGGCATCTGATGGGTCAAGAGACTCAATAAAGTCAGCAGTGAACCATTCATTCATCACCAAGTTATCTTTCACACAATAAGCAGAATCAACCAGTTTACTCCAGTCAAAGCAAGTTACTGAATGTTGAAAAGTTAGCAGTTTGGTCAAGATAAAAAATAAGAAAAATACAAGACCAGCTAATTTTGATTTTGAAAGACAGATATTCAAAAACAGTTGAAATTCTTATCTTTTTAAATTTGATTGTATTTAAATCTTCTATACCAGCATTTAGATATTCATGTTGCAGGGCCAGTGGAATACTCTTCTTAAAAACCACAACACCTATCATCTCTTAAGATGTAATACTTACCACATGTATATGTAATATTCATTTCATTCAAGTGATTTTCCACACAACTATCATTCCAGTTTGTGATGTTCTGTGATATGTTTACTGAACAGCTCATCCTACCATTACAGTGCTTCTGAATAGAGGGGGTTCCCTTATTTAGTTGACAGTTACCCAAAAGCCTAGCAACATTCTGGTTTCCATTACATAATGTCTTTGCACCCTCAAGTGTTCTTCCACAGACTGTTTGTCTGACATATACTGAAAGAAATGATGGGCAAATCAGTTCTTTTACAGTTCCGTCAACAGAGCATGTTTGTTTGTTCTCAACTTCAAATATTTGGGGTATATATTGTACTCTGGCCTCATAAGGTATCTCTGGTGCAGCAGGGCAGATTGGACCTGAAAAAATATTTTATGCATCAAAGTTACTTTTGTATTTAATATTCATACCTCGCACACATCTGGGCCAATCAGGTTCTTGGGGAGCAGAAAAAAATCCTCTTTTAAATTTAGAATCTGAAACCTGATTCACATTTGTACTGAAAACTTTTGATGTTTACATTTTTCAAATAATAGTATCCTCTTTTACAGATGTATACAGCATAAGTGTCAAACTCATATGGTTTCCCATTCCAATTAGAAATTTTCAAATTACTCCATGATGGTGGAGTTGCTGGTTTTAAACACTGTACCCAATCACATTCATTCAATACATTAGTATTAGTCCAGTTCCTATCCCATAAGCATGTCATTATATGGCTGACTTGATGAATTCCATCTTTGTCCTTAAACTGTCTAGCAGCTCCACATTCATATCTAAACAAAATTATTTAAAAGTTATTTTCTGAAATGAATCCCATTGTTCTCACTTACTTTCTATGTTGTTCTTTACAGTTTAACTAATCCTAAATTAATTTTGAAGTAAATTGTGAGACGCTATATATACATAAAACAAGTATGCATTGAAATGTTTTCTAAAATATGTTTCATCAAGAGGAAAAAGTAAAATTGTTTACCTTAAAGTTGCATTAAAGTTGTGGGGCAGAGAAGCCAAGTTTCTTGAAGAATTAACAAAATAACTAGATGTAATTTGATCAGGAAAATCGGTTCTGGTGATGAATACTTTTCCATCATCATCAGGTATTACATATTCTGGAGAGGTTGGCACTGGGGGTGGGTTTAAACTACAAGTGATATCTGAAAAGCATTAAATGAAGATGGTAGACTAAATCAGGGTTATAGAACTATTTGGCATATGCTCAATGCTCAATGCTAAATGTTGTTTGTTTATATTTGCACCAAGCTTAAAATTTCTTTCCATTTAAGAAAAAATATTTAGTATTTACAATACATAATATGATTATATATGATTATTAAACAGAATTAATTATATCCATGTACATTTTAAATTTGTGTACACTGTATAAAGTCTCTAAATTGAGAAAACAGGTCATTTAAGGTTGCATAATTTAAATATGTAAAGAAAATTTATTTTAATATAAATATTCTTAAAATCAAGAAGGTAATTGTAAAAGACAACATTCATAGTTCTGTGATCAAGAGTAGTGGCTTGCATATTTTGAACACTTCAGTGTCATTATGATATTTATTTTGTGTACCTTTTAAGCATGTGGGCCAGTTTTTTCTTTCATTTTTAAAATCATAGTTGCCGTTGTCCAAACAAAGCATTTTAAATGATGATCTATTTCGATCATACTCAAAATATCTGGTATGTTCTCCCTCTGAGTTCTTTCCCTGACATTGGTATTCTTTGTATGTGTTAATTGCAGTCCAATTCGAACTTACTTCCTCCAAGTAAGAGTCCCCAGGAATTCTAAAGATAAAAATGTTTACAACAGGTTTAATATTTTTCAACCCTTTCAAACAAATGCCAAGGAGAAATGCTTGGTGGTGCCCACTAAACCATATTTGCCTTTTAAATTCAATTAGGATCACAGAGTGCTTATAATCTCTTTTCTAGCAAAACATTTTGGCTTTAAAATGTTGCATTTTAAGATGCCATTTTTGCTTAGTACTCTTAAAAACTAAACTTTTCGTGGATTTTTTGCTTAAATTAGTGGATTTTCAAAAATTGCAAATGTTGACAGAATAGTGATAAACTCTTAAAATTACAAACCTGAAAGGTTCAACACAATGTGTGATGACACAAGGAGGAAGTACACTCCAGGGATCCCATTCTTTACTCCAAAGACAGGTTATCATCAGACTCCATGTGTCTCCAACACCATCATAATCAGTATCAAAATGGGACCCATTAGTACACCTTTTAAGTAAAAGAATTAAAGTTGAATTAGACTATTATATGTTAGTCAATTTACCGATAATATATTTCAGTTGTGTAGTTCTCACTTTCTGCATGCCCTATCATCCAGACCTGATAACAAAAATTTGGGGCAAAAGGAGGATCTCCACAGTATACATCATCTGAACACTGCGGCCACTGCTCTGGGTATTGAAAATATCCATCTTCTCCACATTTAACAGATATCTCCTGATCAGCTTCAAGTTTGGTCCTTGTACTATTTTCAATTCGCATACTTCCTCTGCAAGGATAAACAATATTCTCACCTAGTCTAACCAAATCATTCTCTGAACCCTGATAATCATAATTATAAAGATCATTGACATGTAAGGTGGAGTTTGTACAGAACTCTAGAATACACTCCAGATCCTGGGGATACACACTGTATTTTTTATCCCACTGGCATCTTGATTTTATTTTCCACTCTGTGTCTGTGTCATCTATTTTCCTTATTTTGTATCTTCTATCTTTACATCCAATCCTAAAAATGAAAAGAATGAAGCGTCAATTAAAGTTCTTCTGTGGTAACTGTGATCTCTTACCATATGTTGTCATCATAGGCAATTGTATCATTTATAGATTCTGCGATCATATCTTCAGGTATTTCAGGAAAATCTCCACAACTGATATGTTCTAAACACTGGGGCCATGGCTCTGGGTATTGAAAATATCCATCTTCTCCACATTTAACAGATATCTCCTGATCAGCCTCAAGTTTGGTCCTTGTACTATTTTCTAATCGCATACTTCCTCTGCAAGGATAAACAATGCTCTCACCTAGTCTAACCAAATCATTCTCTGAACCCTGATAATCATAATTATAGAGATCATTGACATGTAAGGTGGAGTTAGTGCAGTACTCAAGAACACACTCTAAGTCCTGGGGATACACACTGTATCTTGTGTCCCACAGACATATTGATTGTATTTTTAGCTCTGTTTCATCTTCATTTCTTAGCCTTATTTTGTATCTGATATCTCTACACTCAATCCTAAAAACAAGTGTAAGACTCAGGTATGTGCTTTGCAAAACTATGAGATCTTACCATATGTCATCCTCATAGAAAACTCTATCTTTTGTGAATTTAACATTCATATCATCTGGTATTTTAATTTCATCTTTCTTGGGACATTCTGATACTTTAAATATAGGATGTAGATAAAAATTTAAAATTAATTTAAAAATAATTTAGTATTATTATAATTTTTTAGATAAAACCTACTTGCTACACATTTTGGCCAAGTTACATTACTCCAAATGTTATTCCATTCACATTTTACTTCTATTGAATCTTGATCTTTATCATCCTCAAAAGCATTGATATACTTAGCCCCATCTATTGGGTCTGTTTGACAAGTGTATCTGATTGAGTTTCCAATCTTAACCTGACCAGCCTGCGTTTGTGTACTGCTACTGAGGACAAGATTAGTTTCTTCTGGAGGTATAGGAATGTTTGTGCATACATTCCCTAAATTAAAAAAGCTCCAATTAAATGAAATACCAAATATTTTGAATTGCATGTTATTAAATTTAGTAATTATTTACATTGACAGGTCATTGGCAGACTTTGGTAGTTCCATTCTCCTTTTGAAGTACAATGTATTGAGAAAGATTGGAATTGTTTTTCTGTGTTATTCCAAAATGCATGACCATCTGGACATTGGTAACTAAAACAGAATAAGTATACAGGTTGAGAAAAAAATGGATTGTTTTGTTTTACATCAGACAAGATGAAATTCTTTAATGTATAAACTTTTTACCAAACCAATAAACAGATCTTGTGCTTCTTAAGGCAATTTCACATGTTTAAATTAAGTTTGTACACCAAAAGAAAGGTTTATTATCATTGTAAACAACAGCATCTACTTAGAATCAGGGTGTTTTACAGTTTTAAAAGAAAATAACATTTCAATGCAAATAAGATTTAATAAAATAAATCCACTTAGTTGTACTCAGTAATAGTTCAATAAAAAGAAGAATTTATTCAACTGTTCTCTCCAGTTTAGTACATACATATACAGGATTCAGGAGTACAGTTAATAACAAATTCAAATGAAAAGAAAGTTGGGAGTTATATGACCAATTTTTATAATGGAAGTGCCCACCCTGTTCTTGCAAGAAGTAGAAATCATGATTGTGCATTGTGCATTGTGCTTTTCTCTTCCAAGAATCACATGTTAATACCTTATTTTTGTTTTATACTTTCGTGAAACTCCATCCCAGTCATATGTCATGTTTCCAACTGGAAGGGGAGGTTCATTGGTACAGTTAACAGCTAAAAGATTCATATTAAACCTGTGAAATGTAATTTACAGATTTTTCAAACACTTACGATAACAAATGTTTCGAATTGACCAATTTCCTGTCCACTGACCACCATTTTCCTCAGTCAACTGGCACTCAATAGATCTCTTATTCACCGCTGTAATAAAATCATTGTCAGGTTTAACTTTAAATCTATTAAGTAATTAAATATATCTTCTACCTTCGTCCTCTGTTAATTCAACATCTACTTCATCATAAGTTCTGTTGTCCTTAAAAACATGTCCGGTGCTACATCTGTAAGTAATAACTTGTCCAATGGTGTTGTTGTTCCATTTGAGTTTGGCAGAACTATATCCATTTGTCAGAGAAGAAGAGTAGGTCTCTGTGCAGAATGCTGAAAATCACAACATAATTTTGAAGTGTACATCTAGCAATTTCTTCATTATTGTATCCAATAAATAAATTACCTGTGCATTGCTGATAAGGTTGAGTTTTGTAAACCCAAGTATATTTCCCATCTATATATTTACATTCAGCGGAGTTATTGGCTTTCAATAGTGTATGAAACACTTTCTTCCCATTGTTTTTTCCCCGTGTTCCAATAGAGTTTTTTTTCCTCGGTCACACTTGTTATCATTGTAAACCCTGACTTACAGGAAGTAGCGAAATTTTCTCCAAGTATATTTTCATGATTGTAATCATGGATAGCATTAGGATCAATCACAGGCTCTTCACATTCCTTAGCTGGGAAAAAGATTTTTTTTCTGATAAATTTTAGTTAGTAATTGGTTAGAATTTCTATTGGAATTATTTAGATTGCTCTGTATTGCTCAAAATTATACAAATCCAAATTATCTAACTCAAAGCAATAAAGGAAATGAGTTTCTTTTTACCCCAAACTTTAATTTTCTAATCCCTATACCTTTGCAGCCCAAAGTCGTAGAGACCATAGTTTGTTTCAAACTATGAATTCTTTTACATCAAATGAGCTCAATTCCTTCACTCATTTATGTAAAATGAAGACCCAATATACAAAATATACATTAGAATTCTTTGAAAACTTTCAGATCTTCTTTGATCTACACAACAATGTTCAGTGAATAGTGAATAGTTATAATTCACTTGAAAAAATAACTATCCAAAAATTCTTATTAAAGGATATTAAGAAAATAACCTCTTTCTTAACAAAGGTTTTTTTTTACAAATCACAAGGTAAGAACATTCCTAGGTTCCCCATTCAAAATTTAAGGCAAATCAGTTAAGGGGTTGCTGAGTTATGATTAGATCGTACATACAACACATTAACCTTTGAATTCAATAAAATAAGAAGAATATTTAGCATTTTCAGAATGGGTTGGGCACGTTCCGACTTTTTTTAAATCGTTCCATTCCATTCAACAAGGGCTTCAACTAGATCGTTCATACCTCGTTCGTTCTTTTTAATACTGGAATGTAAGCTGCAATGGGTGAAAAATAATTATGGAAACGTTTCTTTAAAAATATCTATATTTTTATAGGATTTATTACATAAATAATGCATAATGATATCAAATCTATATTTACACTGAAGGCAGTATTGATGAAAGCTTTTTTAATAAAACTTTTTTAGTAAAGGGCAAAATTGAGATCTTAAAGTATTTTTTCATATAATGTAAATATATGCGCAATTTCAAGTGACTCTCAATTTATGAGTGGCATGTCTGATTTACTTTTGAAACCTTCATTCTTCATCGTTTCTGAAGCAATTGAAAAGGGTATTGTTGTGAATCAGAATTGAAATTATGTCTGCAGTGACTTTAAACCTCTCAATTGATTCTATATTAATTTAACTGCTGTGTTGAGTTTACACTAAACGGAGGGTACACCGCATTTTAAAGGAATTCAAGTGGTTTTTAATATATTTAAACACAGACCTCTCTTTACTCAATAAAAAATTAAAGGATCCAAGGATACCGTAGTAAATTGGGCATTGCCCTCTTTGCATGGAAATTCCCCTTAAATTACACTTACCGTGCTATGCCCAAAGATTAATTAACAATACAGATGGAACACTATATGTCGTCTTTTCAAGATCTTGGGGTATTTCGTTTACAATAATCCTGAGGCAGAGGCCCAAAGAGGTTACCGTGTTGAATTACAAGACAGAGAGAGAGCATGTTGTGCATTATTCCTTTGGGCTTCTGCCTCAGGGTTATTGTCAACGAAAAACCCTTAAATCTTGAAAAGACGACATCTAGTGTTCTATCTGTATTGTTAATTAATATATGAGAGCAAATTTTACTTACTACCTTGTGACAGACAAGGAACTGGAAACACTAAAATAATTTATAATTAATTTTTATATATTTATCCAATTTTAGTAGCAAAAGTATGTAATCTGTATTCTGTATATTTTGTTTTAAATGGCATCATAGTTTTTTTCCATTTTAAGAATTCAAAATAAAATATTTCAGTAAATATAAAATTTCATTATTTTATAATTTAATTGAGAAAACATGGCAAATTAACTCTTTAACCATATCAGGTTTGGTGGGGAGGGTGTTTCCCACCCTGTGATTTTTTCTAAATAACTTAAAAATGGCTGACAGTTGAACTTAACTTCTTCATTTTTTCAACTTCATAGTTGTGAACAACTTTTTGCAAAATTTTTTGTTTTTTGATGCATAGGGTAGAATTGAGGACGGTCAAACGACGGGTGTTTAAAAAAATCTGAAATGCTTAATTTAGTAACTTTTTCATTAATTAAGCTGTATAACTAAAATTTTTAATTTGAAAATCCCTAGAAAAATAGATGTAATAAAGTGTGTCACATGTTAGCAGTTGTCAAAAGTAAAAATATTTATTTTTAAACATTTTTAATGAGCAGGCCTTGAAAATTGGACTAGGGACATGTATCACACTCCCCTATCTCAACTCTGAGGGTAAAATTATAGGCGGGTGGCTGGGAAACACCCCCCCACCCAATCCATATTAGACAAAAAAAAGCCCAATCGGAATCGGTTTAAGTGTCGAAGTTGGAAAGAGTTCAAATTTACATCTTTCTGATATTTTTTTTCTTTTAAAGATATATTCTGAGATTCTGAGTATTGACTTCGAAAATGGAAAAAAAAACATTTTTGAGGCATATTATTGATATAAAAGAAAACTTACACAAAATTGACCCAAATAAAACAAGATTCTTAGTTCGCTACATTTTATTAAATGTAATTCTCTGCAGTCCATGCATGTTACATGTTTACAGTTACAGAGTTCGGGTTGAACAAAGGTTAGGACAGCCCAGTGAATATATTTATTAGAGGGGGGGGGGGGGGTTGCAGACGGTTCATTAATTCATGATTATTGCATGACCAGTGGTAGTTTGTATATAATAGGTATGGAGAATATAAATACCAAGAAAATAGAAATAATTTTGATTAGATTGGGAGCCTCTATCTAACTGAACTATAATCAATTGTTATTTTAAACTAATTGATTTTATGCAAATTTAAAATAGCTTAGGGATTCTTAGGGATTTCTTTGTTCTATTGCAGGTTAGTAATGCATTTTGAGATTTTCTTGCATGTGCCATGTGCAATGCACACCCCTAGTTAAGAAATATTGTTAAACACTAATTAATTGTATATATTTGATAGTTCATTAATTAAACCTAATATTTTTATAAAAAGGGGTCGCATCGCTTCAAAATAAAAAACCAAAAGTAAAAACTGGAAGGTTGAGGCATCATCAAAAGTTTAACATTTTCTGACTGACGTCTGGTTTACCCAAAAGATATTGAACAATCTGAAGAAAAAATGCAAATTTGCAAAAATCAATTTTTTATTGCAAAATCTAGTTATTTAGCAAAAAATGCGCCAAATATGACAAATTTTACGTTTTTGAAAAGCCCTTACCCTAAAGCGAATTCAAATATGCGAAAATATTTGCAAAATTTTCAAACCTTGAATGTGTATTTAGGAAAGATTAAAATTTTGCAAATTCTCTTTAAAGGCGTCTGCGCAAAATTTCTTTACAGAACTAATGCAATCTGCTTCCTTTGGTTAGGCTTTCTAAAGCCCTATAAAGTATTGAAATCCAATGACTGGAAGAAGGTCTAAATGAAGATTTAGTATGGTAAAGGTAAATATGGCATTTAGGCAATAGGTATAAAGTCCAGCTTTAAACCTAAAGTGAGGGGCATGTGTTAGTTAGAAAATAACTAACACAGTTTCTGAACAGTTTCTGACTAAAACTTTTTTAAGTTATCACAAAAAAAGGAAGGGGGGGGAACACAGAGTGATCCCCTCCCCCTCAGTCGGAATAGGGTTAAGATCTGAAATAGAAAACATGATTACTATAAATTATTTACAGTGTTAACAAACACAATTAAAGAAAATTTATTTAACTTTCATAATAACATAGTTTAGAATTGTATAGTTGCAAGCAAGTCCCTTTGATGGTAAAAATACTAGTTAATGGAAATATTCCCAGAATAAATATATTTATATCGTTATTCATTATTAATGGAAATATTCCCGTAAAAGATATATATAGATCGTTATTCATGAATCTTCTATATAATAAAACTCTTCGCTCATATATTTTTGTTTGTATGTTTGCTATAGCTGGAAGCTGGTCAAACGGCTGGACCGAATGGACTTACATTTTTTGAAGAATCCCTAGGAGTAACATGGACTAAAAACACCGGGCGCTTCAGCTAGTTAAACACATAATTTTATCGATATAAAATATGAATTACAACAATGAAGAAAAAATTTATATTTATACATAATTTGTTAAATTTATTACGTTTAAATAAGTCCAAAAAGTATTTCCAGTGTTTTATTTAATCTTAATAATTATCCAAATTTTGCTATTTTAAATCATTTTAAAGGAAAAAAATTTTGAATGTTCATCAAAAAACGTCTTAATTATGAATTCTATTCTTTAACTAACTCCCTGGGGTGGTTTGTTGTGTGTCCATAATATTCCTAAAATATATAAATTGTTGAAAATTTACTAATACGAAAATAATAAATAATAAATAATGTCAATAATGTCACCCATTATTTATAAATAGTTTTACAATTACCTCGTAAGAATAGTAGCAATCAAAAGTAATTATTTTACGCCGTAAGCCTATATCCACTTTCATTTTTCGCTAACACTCCCTTTAAGTGACACTCAATTGATAGAGGAGCATGTCAAATACACTATAAATAAGTAAAAATTATGTATTCATTTTTTGTTTACAAAACTAATTATTTTAATTTGTGGTTTCTCTACATAAAGTGACTTGCGCATTTCTTGATACAGAAATAACAGAGAAATTATTAAGATTTTCAAGCTAGGAAACCGGCACATTATTGTTAAAATATGGTTTCAAATGTGCACCATTGTGGCCCCTCTTTGAGTGATGGATCATTTACAATTACAGCAACAGTCTCTTTAAGCCATTTAAAATTCTTTTTAGCTGTTCTTAAAATTATTATATTAACAAGGTGGAGGTTGGGCTGAATTTACTATTACATAATGATCAATAGTACGGACAGTTGGATATGGAGGACTCACTGAGCCTTAGTGTTCAAATTCTATAAATGTTTTAAAGATTGGACAGGTTTTGTTACTTTAGATCATAGTTGATCCCAGGCCCAACATATAACAACTTCTTTTTACAGAGAGCGTACTGTGCTTTGGTTATTTGTTTACAGTTCTTTATTCTAGATTTCCAATGATATTTTTAGGAGGATATAATAAAATATAAATTAACAATGAGATAAAAAAAATATTTTATATGCATTTATTGGTCCAAATTAAATGGCAAATCAAAATTCAATTAAGGCTGCTTCATTTGAGATAACGTTCACAGATGGAGAAAAGAAGAGTGGAACATGCTACATCATTCCAGAGTCCATTTGTTGCCAGTGATGAACCAGTGTTCATTTTTACACAATCCAGTCCATTAGGAGCATTATAAGCCCAGTTAGTAAATGTTGGAACATTAGCATCGGGATTTGCTGCAAGTTGAGAGAGCATTGGTGCGTCCCAGAGAAAAGCATTTTTTAGATACTCGGATGTTTCTGCTTCAAGTCCAATGTAGAAGCCAAAGTTCGTGGTTGGATACATCTTGTTGATATACTTGGCTAGGCAATAGTTCTCCTTCCTAGTTTCAAAGGTTGCGAGCTGATATCCATGAGTAGAATCTCCAAAGTTATTAATCAAGCAGCTAAAGCGTGCATCGTCGTAATCTCTGGGAGTAGTGATATCTATAGAGTATTGATGCCCCTCCATTCCTTCATCAGTAGTTATTACACCAGTGTCTACGTCAACCGGACTTCTATGACAGCATTCATAGGGGACAGTAAACCCGTTAGCACAGATATCCACCCAGGCAGCTTTCTGCTCAACAGAAACACATCCTATTAAAATAATAAATATATCTGGAAACAATTGTTTTGTCCATTTTCAGGGTATTGGGTTTTTGCCACAAACTTAAATTTACTAATCCTTATATCTTCTTAACCCAATGTCGTAGATTTTATATATTTCAAACTATGATTCTTTTTGATCAAATAATCTAAATTTGAAATATCAACTGTTTACATCATTTGGTAGCAATTATATAGTGATTAGCAAGTATAAAGTGTGGCAAAGATACATCTCCTTTTTGTGCAAATTACAGTTTTTAAGTAGAAGATTTAAAAGCATAAAATCTAAATATCTTATAATCAAATATTTTATTTGTTTGAAAAGTCTAATTGACTCAAATGAATAAATCCAAATGGTGATTTCAAGAGCATGCGAGAGTTTGAAAAATACAACAGTTTTAGAATTTTTTAAATTTCAAAAGTTTACAGGTAGAAACCGGATAATCTTTTGTTTTAATTTTTCAAAGGCTTTCTTTTTTCCAAACAATAACATTGAAAATCAAAATATTTATATAATTCTGAACCTTCCTTGTTGCAACCTATTAATTCTGAAAGGAGCTGCTTTCTTGCCACAAACTCAAATTTCCTAATCCCGTTATCTATATATATAACATACTAGGCTTTTAGGGCGCTTCGCGCCCATCTTCTATTTAAATTGTGCACATGTTCTTTTTGTTTACATTTTAAAACAAAGAAGAAATAAATTTCACGGATTTAAAAAAAAATTCGCGGATTTTCAAAATTTAAATTTTTTACAAAATTAAAAACCTTTAAAACACATTTTTTAAAATTTTTATCATTCGTAAAACTTCCCTGTGGTCATGTGATGTCCCACAAAAAATGTGGGCCCGATCGGTTCAGCCGTTTCGACGTTTATTGGATACAAACAAACAGACACCCAAGCCAAATTTATAAATAGATTGTAACCAAATGGTGTTAACCTTTAACCCTATTCCTGTAGTTTTTTTTACATAACTCAAAAAGTATTGGTCTGAGGCTGTTGAAATTTTCTGACTTTTCTTACATACCCAAAGCCCTCCCTTTAGGCCTAAAACCGGGCTTTAATACTAACTGCCTGAGTCCTCAGGCACACTGCCTGAATGACTGCTTTTGCCTGTAACAAACTAAATCTTTGTTTTGACCCACTTTCACTTGTCAGATTTTGAAAAATTTAGCTTTTTGGAAAGCCTATGACATAAGGAAACGGATTGCACAAGTTTTGCGAAAAAAAATTGAAAATTTTTTGCAAACAACCTGTCAAAGGAAATTTGCACATTTTTAGTTTTTCTTGATTAAAAATCAGGTTATTTAAAATTTTTCAAAAATTTTTGCATATTTGAAATGGCATGGTCAAGGGCTTTTCAAAAATGTATAATTTGTCATTTTTTGGACAAATTTTTTTTGCAAACATTTTTACTTTAAAACTGGATTTTGCGATAGAAAATTCAATTTTCACAAATTTGCAAATTTTTTTGCAGATTCTAAAAGTAGAGCATAAGAGCTTTCTAATGATGTATCATTTGTCATATTTGGACATAAAACATGGGATTTAGAGGGGGGGGGGTCAAATTGACCCCCCCCCCAGCATATCCTGGTTTTCAAGTACCCCAGCAGGGATAGGGTTAAATACTTCAAACTTTTTGACCAAACAGAATTCATAATTTAAAATATCAAAGGTCGAACACATCGGATTGCAAAAATATAGGGAATAAGAGTTTGTGGCAAGAACACAGCTCCTTAGGAACAAATTAATGTACTGTGCAAATCAACATTTGCCTATGAAACTAATCTTGAATCTTGAAATTCCAAGTGAAAAATTACACAATTAATAAATTAAATATCAAACCTACCGACAGAGAAAAGGAAAAATAATGACAGTATGACAGATGTCATGTTGATGTTCTAGTATATTGCACAAGACTGCTGAATTATATCAAGCCAAAGCGAGTATTTATACGCAAAAATATCAACTTATCTCCTTTTTTAATTAAAAGTTAATTGTTTGGTTAATAAAAGGTTTCTAAGAAAAAGAACTGCTGATAAAACAATAAAACAATTGTTTAACAAAGCTTTGCACACATTGACCTCAACTAGGAGTAGGTTTTCCACGAAACTGTAGATTATCTTGCGCAACAGTTTCGTGTTTTTGCATGAAATGACTTTTGTTGCAAGAAATTTCGCATCAATTTCGTATTAATACGAATTGAGATTTGCCCGAAATTGCCTGAAATTGCGCATTCATTCAGAAAAAAATGGTACTGTTGTGAATCGGTCATTGCCATCTTTAATTGGAGGGTATGGTTTCCAGCGAAATGGGGAAATTGTTTCGCAAAAATTTTGCATTTTTCGCGAAAATTTTCTTTTCCACAAAGTTCACATCGTTTTTGCTCCCTTTCGCAAAACTCATTTCCATTTTTCATCCTGAAAAATGAAAGAACATTTTCGCGAAATTTCGCGAAAGTTTACGTTTGCTGAAAACCCTGAAGGGTCACTCGAAATTACTCTGACTGTCCCTTTAAATTCATATTAACTTCAAGACAAACCAAAAATTTGTTCCTATTTGCACCTTCTATATCGATTAATTTTAGATGTAAACCAATAATGGGTCAAGATAGCAACATACATGCCCATTTTCTATTTAAACCCTAAATTTTTATTATTTGTTGCTCTTATCTGTGAGCATTTTCTCTTCGTACTTCAAAACAAGAACACAAAATTTCGCGGATTTCATTCTTTTTCTCGTCTTTTTTGTAAAATTTATGAAAATCAAAATGTTTATGAGATAGTTTTATTCTGACCTTTCTTTGAATATTGTGAGGTCGCAGAACAAATTTGGGTCTAATCGGTTCAGCCGTTTTGGCGTTTATTGGATACAGGCAAACAAATAAACACCCAAGCAAAGTATCATAAATTGACAAGGTTATAATCTCTGTTTGTTTTTCCGATCATAACTCAGGAACCCCTGGACCGATTTGCTTAAATTTTGATTGGAGAACTCGGGAGATCCATGGGAATTTTTTTAGCTTGGTTTTGAGTTTCTAAGTTGATTGGGTCCACTTTAATAGCGAAAATTTAGTTTACCGGTAAAATCGTTTAAGGGCGGGTAAACGGCGGGGAAACTTTTAGTAACATTGTCAGTGCTGGGTTCCCATGCTAGGATATAGATATTATATATAGACTTTAAAAATCCAATAAACCTGATAATTAGGCAGTGCTATCTATATTCTAAGCTTTACAATCATGTTTTTTACACATCAAACAAGAACTTTCAACTTCTTAGAATAAGCATATTTAACAAGAATTAATGCTTCGACTAGAGAGATAAGGTGATATTGAATACATTTTCTACAGTTTCAAAATCTTCGTTTAATCTCGAGAAAATACAATGTTTCCATGAAGCATATATTATCAGTAATTAACAAACAATTAATTATTCAAGGCTTTCAGGACGCTTCATGCAGGCTTATATAAGAATGTCCTAATCATTTCTGGGATTGACAAACATTATCAAATAAAAGGCTTCCTTTACCACCTTTCAGCTTTCGACTTTCTTAATTTAAACCTTAAAGGTACTGTCCACTACAAATTGAGACTTTTTAAACAGCAAAAATAAAATAAAAAAATAAAATAGCAAATCCAATATGATGAAAAATCCACGATGATCAGCCACCTGTGTTCTAGGAACAAATTAGTTGCAATGTTTTAAAGAATATACATCATAAAGAAGATTAGGGACATGAAAAAGGTGTGGTAGGTTTTACATCAAAAACTACATTTCCAATTATGATTCATATTTTCCCCTGAAGGTTAAGGGCCTTACTGGAAAAAAATAGTTTTAAACGTGCACAAAGACTGCCTTTGGAGCTAAATGTTTCTAGTGAAATTTGTCTAAATAAAAATAAATAATAATAAACGTTTAAATAAAAGCCAATAACGTTTGAACATTAACCATTAAAACTCTGTTATGAAACGAATTATATTTTAGAGTTTGAAACAAAATTATTTAAAATCGTTTATTTTAAACACATTAAAACTTTTCTACAATTCCACTCTAAAGATGTTTTTTTTACACTTCTTTTCTTAACAGAATTCAGAGTTTTACTCAAGTACTATTTGATTTAATGTCTTAAAACCTTTTATTTTTAGCATATTTCTATCTGTAAAGTAACTTTTTTTATATTGCATGATGAACAATGTCATTTTCCATCGTATAAGAAGCAACCCGGACTTATAAAGTGCGAAATTTCCGTAATCGAAATGTTTGGCAGATTTTTTAAAAAGTTTCGATAAATATATAAACCAGGAAAGAAGCTGTTATAGAATTGAAAAGAGTGTTTTGTCACCTCATACAGATTCTATTTAAAGGAAAATTACATGGCAAAAAATGTATCATTCACTCTGAGACAAAGTAGAACCTATGTAAATTCAAATTCAATGATACACCTGAGGGCGTAATTTAAAGGTTTATCTTTGAATTCCTTAAACTTGAGGCAAGAGTTAAGTAAAACCATCAAAAATGTACACCAAAAAAACAAATTTTTATAAAGAAATATCAAACTATATAATTATACATATTTAATATCTTTTTCATACACCCTGCTTTTAACAAATACATCGGAATTGATAAGCTTTGTCTGATGTATTCCATTTAAGTATAATTACATCGTATAGAAAAAAATACTTTAAAATCTCACTTTTGCCCTGAACTAAAAAAGTTTCATTAAAAAAGCTTTAGTTAATACTGCCTTCAGTGTAAATATATATTTGATATCATACTTTATTATACAATATGTATCAATCCTATCAATACCACAGTATTAAGAGGGTTTGCCTGATTTTGTGCCCCCCCCCCAAGCCAGAAACAGTTATTCTGTGTAAAAATGTTTCTCTTTTATATATTTTTTTAAAACTCTTATATCGCCTGCATTAAACATCTTTTAACCTCTTAGAGACTTTTAAAATATAGTACTTAAAATGTTTAATATTTGACCGCAGTGTTCGGTCCACCAGCCTGTCCTAGCCACTACGCTCGGCCTCTGGCTTGTTTTATCTGCAGAGCTCGGCCTAGAAATTTTCTCATTCAACATTAGCCTGAAATAAAACTGAATACATACATTTTTTTAAAGGCGGGGATTAAGCGGGTCTGCCCTATTGTACGATTTTTGGAGGGGGGGGTAATTACCCCTAAGATTCTAGGGGGGGGATAATTACCTCAAGGGATAAGTAACCCCAATAACCCTTCTATGCAGTGCAAACGATATTTCGGTAAATGTTACATCGTCTATACGCTTAACATTCCCCCTACTGAACTTATGACCTATACTAACATTCCGACCTACTGCAACATCGGATCAACGCAAGCTGTTTATTTTTGTATTATTTGAGGGAGGATAAGACAATTTCTGGACCGAGCGCTGCGGCTAGGACAGGCTTAGGGGCCGAGCGCCTCGGCTAGGAAAGGCTAGGGGGCCGGTCGCTACGGCGACGTCGACAAGTCCATATTGCACCGTTAAAACCACGTAGTAGTAGGTCGGATGTGTAGTATAGCGGATTTGTCGTAGGTCAGAAGTGGAGTATAGTGGATTTGCATTAAAGTTTGTTTAAATGTCGTATTCATTTTTACTAAGTTTGAAGATAAAAATCAGCTGATATTGGGCGGCTTTCACTGGGCATGCGCAGTTCTCCCTCACACACTCACGCTGCGGGAACTAAAAGAAAGAAGGCGTCAGAACTGAAAACTATGCCACCCCACGGTTAGTTATTCCCTCCAAGTTTTGTGACCATTGTATTGTAAGTTAACCTATAGAAGTTGTAAAGTTCAAATTGTGATATTTCAGTTATATAAACATCGTCTAAAATGATGTTCATGAATTTTACTTTTAAACATCGTCTAAAATGATGTTCATGAATTTTACTTTTAGGATTCGAACATTAGTCCCAGTTTATATAATAGAAGTTGAGTGAAAATGTCTGAAGGAGAGTTGAGGTAAGAACAGAGATAACAGGGCAATTTTCTAGAGAAGATTCTTGAACCCCCCAAGCCGCCCCCCCCCTCTATCATCTTTGGACCTGCATCTCAAATTTAACAGTTAGGTAATTTCCTAGTTTATTGTCAACGAA